CCATCCCGTGAGGATCAATCGTGTCCTGGCAGAACGCGCACTTGTTCTCGTCGTACTCTGAAGACTGCGGCTGGCGCTGCTGCTGGGGATGCTCCTGCTCAGGGGGCTGCTGTGGCTCCTGCGTCTGCTGCGCCTGCGGTTGCCCCCCGTCGGGCTGCTCGCGGGCTTGCAAGGGCTCGTGTTGCTGCTGGGGGGGCTCTCCGTCGGCGTGGTGCTGGACCTGCGGTGGCTGCTGTTGCTGCCCAGGCTGGTAGGTTTGCAGTGGCTCTTGCGGCTGCTGGCGGGCTTGTTGTGCTTCCTGTGGCTGCTGGTGCTGGCGCGCTGGGCTCGTGGTTACCTGCTGTGGCGGTTGTCCTGGCTGCGCTGCCGCTCTGGGCCCCACCGAACCGTCGGTCAGTTGCAGCAGGGGCTCCTGGTGTGCCCGGGGACGGCGCCTCTGGCTGCCGACGCCGCCCGTGCCAACTTTCGACACCAACTCTGCGAGCAAGTTCTGTTGCGACTGCATGCTCTCCAGGAGAGCGTGCGTGGCAGCCTGTGAGCCGACCGACGGCTCGCCACCGCTGCCACCGCTGCTGGCGCTGCTGGCGCTGGACAAGGGCGTTTGCTGTTGCTGACGTTGCTGTTGAACCTGCGTGTCGTCACTCTTCTTTTTCTTGAACAGTTCGGCCAACGTCTGCTTGGCCTCATCCATTTCGCGTTTACCTCTCTTTTTCTGTTTTTCCATGTACGCGGGGTCGAACCCGAGCTTGATGGCTTCCTCCATCACGAGAATTTTGGAGATGGTGGAGGCGTTTTGGAACGCGTGCAGGGTGCGCTGGTTCGCGGTCTTATCGTGCGCCTTCACTCGCTCAGCTGCTTTCTTCAGGCAACCGTAGAAGTCGTCGTATGTAGTTGCACGCAGCTCGGTACATTGCACGTTGGGTTTCACCCGGGTGAAACACCACAAGATGACAGCGAGGCATTATTGGTTCACGTCTGTCGTGGTAGCACCATCAAGCGAGGTGACGCGTTCCACTGCTTCTGCCAGGCGGGCACGGGGCAGCTTCATGATTGGAACAGATGATGTCGACATCTTGTCCTCCTTGTTGTTGTCCGCGGCATCCGGCGTCGCGGCTGCAGCCTTAGCTTGTGCCTGTTGCATGCTGTGTTGCATTTGTTGCATGGCTTGCAATTGCTGAACGCGCAGCATCTGCTGGAGCTGATCTTCCATCCTGCAGGAGGCAGTTGCCACACTGCGCTGGCTTTCGCTGCGGCGATAGCTTTGCTCAAGGCCAAACGCGGAGGAGGGTGACCGATATGGATGGCAATCGCAGAAGAGCGGGATGGATAACAAGAGAGGATGGGACGCAGAGGAAGGGGTGGCCCATGAGGGAATGCATTTGGTGAAGAGTAATAGGAGGAGGGGGAGAAGGGAGGAAGAGGATGAGGCGAAGGTGGGAGGGAGGCAGGGCGGCAAGACGCAAGAATGCCACATAGGCGTTGTGCCACATAGGCGTTGCGTCGTTTACGGAAGGAGGGAAGAGGGGGAAGAGGAGGAGGAGGAGGACGAAGAGACACGTAATAATTGGGGAAGGCAACATAGAAACATTGAGTAACCAGGACAATGTCTTTGTACTCACTTTACTGCGCATGGCAGGTTGCAAATCGCACTCAGAACGTGGATCAACCGCAGGATAATTAATTAAAATCCAGTGTGAGCTGGGGCTCAAACCCTACTCTACCACAACCCCCTCGCCCATAACCCAGAAAGGTTCTGATGGCCCACCGAGAACGGACATTGGAACTGCACAGGAACCTCTTCCCACGCCGTGCCCGGGAAGCACCGCACCTTGCCGCCCCGTGGGGGGGGCGACTTGCACCAGACTCGGGGCGTCTGGACCTCCTGCGCTCCTTGTCGCCCCCGATGCCGGCAAGAGCGCTCAGCCAGCCCGGGGACCTGGCAGTCACGTCACCAGGGTCCAGCATGGACCAGGCCTGGAGCAACGGATATGGATAGATCTCGCCCCACGTCGGGGTGGCCAGCCGCCGCCCCGCCGCGGCCCCCGTCCGCCGCTCCGACGCGGCCAGCCGCGCCGCGACCGCCTCCGCGGCTGCCACGCCCAGCCCCTCCGCGGCCGCGGTGGCCTCGCCGTCGCGGCCCACGATGACCGAGAGCAGGATGAGCCCGAAGGCCACCACGGCAAGCAGCGCCGTTACCCCGTGTCAGGCGAAGGCGACGACATGCCACCTGATATTGCCACAGAGCCATCGCGGACGTATGGGCCAGGGCGTGCAGTGCAATTGGAAAAGACGCTCGCCCCACTGCAACTGTACGCTGTTCAGTACTAGCGTCAGCTTGTGATTGATAACTGATGGTCCCCCCCAAGGCTGATGAATTGACCCCGCGGGGCGCGAAACAATTTGTGGAATCACGCGCGCCAGGGCTCGGAGAGCTCAGGGTGCCACCGCGCCGCGGATAAGGAGCAACGGCATGAACGACGCGCCGCCTCCGAAGGGGAGCTCGCCCGCGGAGTGCAGCGCAGTGCATTTGAGTGGTACGCACATGCACTGCAACTCCGTTCGTTCGCGGGCCCTGCGCCGAGCTGCATTGGGCTTGTGAGCGTGCGCCGCCCGAGGCCCGAGGCTTCGTTGAGGCCCTGGCTTCGTTCGCTCGTCAGGCTTGCGTGTTCTCGAGTGGCCGCCGTCGCGGCCGTTCCCCCCGGCGCGCCGAGGGTGCTAAGCGCCCGCTTGGCTTAGCCCACGACTTCTGCACCATTGTGAACAGGACTCGCTGCGGGTGTCGCCGCGGACGTTGCCAGCTCCATGCGACGATCCCCCTGCCCCACAGCGGCTGATGTTGGCGTCGGCAAACATTATTTCCTGGTGGACGTCGTGCCCGTGTTGCCCACGACCATTTCGGACGCGCCGAGCCTTGCTCTGCGCCTGGCCGGCTCGACTTTCTTGGCCTCGCTGCGGAGCGCCGCGGTGGACGCACGTTCTGCGGGAAGTGGGCCGTGGCATGCTGGTTGCTCCGCTTCGGGTCCCAGGGCCCTCTGCGGGGGTCCCCGTGGGGGGGTCCTGTTGTAGTTCTCTTGGGCCTCTTGGAGACCTCCTGGGCCGTCTTGAGGCCATCCTGTTTATGTTTGCGCTTTCCTCGGCGTGTGGGTGCCCAGCTTGAACCAGCTTCAGAGGCATCGTGGGCATATTGGAGGCCACGGCGTGTAGAGTTGGAGCTCTGGAATCTTCGGGGGTGCGTTGAAAAGCTCGTCCTCATCGCCATGCCCCCCCTCAAACGCGATTTTGGATCTTGGGGGATGGAAATGGGAGGAGGACGGGCAAATATCGCACGCGCTTTTTGTTGCCTCTCGGCATGCGGGGGCCGGCGGATTCAGGATTGTCGAAGGCATCGCAATGAATTCCGTAGGGTTGCGGATGGGATTTTTAGGAAACCCCTCTGGTGCCTGAGGGGTCGGTCCTACGGAAGGCCTCCGAAGCAGGAATCGCAAATTGAGGGGCCGTCCCGCCGGGCGGCGGGGGGCCCACTGGCCAGATTCGCCAGGGAGGCGGTGGAGTTTTCTGCATCGTTTCTCTGTGTGTGTGTCTGTGTGTGTGTGCGTGTGCGTGTGCGTGTGCGTGTGCGTGTGCGTGTGCGTGTGCGTGTGGGTGTGCGTGTGCGTGTGCGTGTGCGTGTGCGTGTGCGTGTGCGTGTGCGTGTGCGTGTGCGTGTGCGTGTGCGTGCGTGTGCGTGTGCGTGTGCGTGTGCGTGTGCGCGTGCGCGTGCGCGTGCGCGTGCGCGTGCGCGTGCGCGTGCGCGTGCGCGTGCGCGTGCGCGTGCGCGTGCGCGTGCGCGTGCGCGTGCGCGGCGCGTGCGTGCGTGCGTGCGTGCGTGTCTGTCTGTCTGTCTGTCTGTCTGTCTGTCTGTCTGTCTGTCTGTCTGTCTCTGTCTGTCTCTGTCTGTCTCTCTGTCTCTGTCTCTGTCTCTGTCTCTGTCTCTGTGTGTGTTTGTGTGTATGTGTGGGGGGGGGGGCGCATTTCCGAAACCCGCCGAGACTCTTCGGAGGCCACGCAGGAGAGTGCCAAGTCTGCGCTTTGCAGGGGACGCAGGGGACGCAGGAGGTCAGCGGGTCTCATTCGGGGCTCAAGAGACGGGGGTCAACGCAAACAAGGGCCAGCCAGAGCCAGGGTGCGTTGACTCTGGGTCGCGCGCAGGATCCTGCAGGATTCGGCAAAGCCTGACTGACCCGGGTGTGGATTAACCGGGTCAGCGGATCCCCGATCAACCTCGGCCGCCTTGCCATTCGTTTGGCGCTCCGCTGAAAGCTCGGACCAACCGTCGCGCCCGCTTGGCGTCGGTCGGATGCGGTGTTCGTCCTGGGGAGCGCGAAGACGAGGAGGGCGACGAGAAGGAGGAAGACGGAGGAGGAGGTGCAGGAGGAACACGGAGAAGAGCATGGTGCGGGGAGGATCGGGCGATCGATCGAGCTTTCGGGCCAGTTCGGCACTACACTACTACCGGCCAACTAGCGCGGTATATGATAGGCTTGTTTCCACCACCACTACCATAAGTTGAAGGGGGGAGGGGGTCCTCCTCCCCCTCTTCTTCTTCCTCGTCCTCCTCATCCTCCACCTCCTTCCCCCCTCCAACTTATGATGGTGGTGGTGGAAAGCAGGCCCATCAGTGCAGTCGATATGAAACAAATAGTTTGGCTTAGTTGAGTTGACTTCGTACATTTCAACCGCGAGTGCCCTCCCCCTCCCTCCTGTCGTTTGCGGACGCTCCCCCTGCAGCGCGCCCTCCACCGCCCCCCCTCCTTTTCCTGCCCGACAACCAGCGTGCCGCGCGCCCCAAATCACTCGAGCGCCCGTGCGGATTGCCTTTGCCGTGCTGCGACGGAGAAGGTTCGTTCCGTACAGGAGGAGGAGGAAGAGCAGGAAAAGGAGGAGGAGGAGGAGGAGGAGGAGGAGAGGAGGGGGAGGAGGAGGAGGAGGAGGAGGAGGAGGAGGAGGAGGAGGAGGAGGAGGAGGAGGAGCATGGCGGGTGCACGGGCGAGGCGGCCAACCCGCGTCCGAGCGGGGGGCGCAGGGGGGCGCGCTGGTGCAGCGGCGCCCCCTCCCTGGCCGCTCGGCGGTGTGCCCGCGCAGTTGTTTCGGAGCCCCCGGGCTCCAATTTTCTCGGCGGCGCAGCAAGAAGGGCAAGGCAATCCTCACCAATCATCCGCCTCCCTGCTCCTCTCTTCTTCCTTGTTCATCGTATATGGAAACTTCCTCTTCCTCCCCATACATTCCCCTCTCCTCCCCACCCCCATCCTCCTCCTCCACCTCCTCCTCCTTCTTCTCTCCTCCTCCTCCTCCTCCTCTTCCTCTCCCTCTTCCTCTTTCTCCGCCTCCTCCTCCTCCCTCCTCCTCCTCCTCCTCCTCCTGCTGCTCCCCCCTCTCCCCCCTCTCCTCCCTCTCCTCCCTTTCCTTTCGCTCGGCCTCATCGGACCGCCTAGCGTCGTGGCAGCTCACGCCGCCAGTTGTTGTGGCAGTCGTTCTGTCGGTTTCCAGGAGGCCTTAGTTCTGATTGTGGCAGCTTCCAGTTTCCAGGAGACCTCAATGGGCCAGGGACCGTCTAAGACGAACTCGCTGGAACCATATCTGTACCGGAAGGCGTCCAAACCTCTGGGGAGCCGATTTGCCAGCAAAGCGTAAGGCCCGATGTCTGGATCTTCAGCCGATGTGGCCCCTCGGAGGGAGAGAGTCTGCCAGCACGCCACTTTTACGGGTTCTGGTGATGGCAGCCTGCTACGTACCCTGATGATACAGCAAACACACCCCTGCTGCACATAAGAGGAATGGTTTGTCCGTTTTGGGTGTGCCATGCCCTTGTTTGCGCCCTCGGATGCCCCTGGAGCCCAGGGACCCCCGAGGACTCTTGAGAAAAGCGAATTCCGGGGACTTCGAACGATTTCTGGGGACCTCTGCCATTGAGACCCGTTCCACCACAACCATCATCATCAGCAGCAGTATCATCAGCATCATCAGCATCGTCATCGTCATCGTCATCGTCATCTTCATCATTAGCATCATCGTCATCATCATCAGCATCATCAGCATCAGCATCGTCACCGTCCATCCTCATCATTCATCACTCATCATCAGCATCATCACCATCATCATCAGCATCAGCAGCAGCAGCAGCCGCAGCATCCCCACCACCACCATCACTGTCTTCACCCCCATCTCCATCTCCAGCTTCACCACCATCACCAGATTGACTCGAGGATTGCCCCTCGTCGCCACGGCCGCACCCGCCCCGAACGGTTTGATCGGACTGCGCTCCAGGGGGGGCAAGGGCCAGGGGGCAAGACCTCCAGGTGTGGCGACGAGAGCGCGACATGCCCCCTGCTGGCTTGCTGCCTTCTCGGAAGGCCGCACCCTGACCCAGTCGGAGGAGGGGGAGGAGAAGGAGGAGGGAGAGGAGGAGGAGGAGGAGGAGGAGGAGGAGGAGAAGGAGGAGAGGGAGGAGGAGGAAGAGGAAGGAGGAGGGGAGGGAGGAGGAGGAGGAGGAGGAGGAGGAGGAGGAGGAGGAGGAGGAGGAGGAGGAGGAGGAGGAGGAGAGGAGGAGGAGGAGGAGAGGAGGAGGAGGAGAGAGGAGGAGGAAGAGAGGAGAGGAGGAGGAGGAGGAGGAGGAGGAGGAGGCGCCGCCAGTCATCGCTCGCGACGCTCTCTCGCCCTTTCGCCTCGTGCTCGGGCGATGGACGGCGACGCATCCGCGTCGCCCTCGCGCTGGGCGAGAAAAGAGCCTGCACTGTTTGGGCCCTTGCTCCCTCCCATTGTTCCGTCCTCCTGTCTCCCTCCCTTGGTGTTTCCTGCTTTGCCTCTTCTTTCCTCATTCTCTCTTTCTCGACGTCGTCCTGGCACTCTTCTTCCTGTTCATCATTGCCCCCCTCACTCCTCTGCCTTCCCTTGCTCTATGCAGCACAGGACGTAGGCCAGGAGTGGGCCCAAAACCGGGACCTTATCCTCCATGGAGTGACTGGCTGGGGCCCCCCGGGCGGGCTCAGAAACTCTCTGGGAGGATCCCCCGTTTCAGGGGGGCGCTCCCCCGATCGCTTGTCTTGGCAAGACGGCGCGAGCCCGAGGGCGCTCAAGATGGGCTCAAGGGCGTCGACAAGCGCTCCCCAGTTGCTCCGAGAGGGCCCTCGCAGGGCGCCCCAGAACAGCGAAGGGATAGGGCCTCCGGAGGGCCCGCGGGAGCTGCTCAGCGACCCCCCGATGCAGCTCGCAAGGGGGGCACCTCGGAGAGACTCCCACGAGGATCCCGCGGGGAGCCCGCAGGGGGGCAGCGGGTGTGCGCGCAATGTCAGGCGATCGCAAACAGGGATCAACGGGGGCGTGGACTCGCGACGGGTCCCGTTGCCACGGGCAATCGCGGATGTCCGCCGCCGAGCGAGGCGGCACCGGCCGCGTGTTGGGGAGGGCACACCTCCCCCGATCCGTGGATTTGGCGACCGCGCGCCAAATCCATGGATCGCTAGTCCATGTTTGCGCGCCCCCGAACAAGGGCGGATGCTTCTCACGGAAATCTCAGAGCGCCTTCCGCGGCGTGCCAGCCTCCGATAATTGAACGGCACGGTCCCAACGCGAGCGAATCCTCGAGGACTCTGCGGGAGCTGAGCCTGGGCGATGCGGAGCCCCTGACCTGAGGTTCTCTGCCTGGTCTCAACGTGGGCGCGGCGTCCTCGAGGACTGCGCGGAGGCCTCGCCTGGGCCGGGCATGATGGCCTCAACGCGGTCTCAACATTGGCATGGCATCTTCGAGGACTGCGGATGTCACGCTTGGGTGGCGTGGGGCCCTGGCCCGAAGAGCTCGGCGTGGCCCCAGCACCGGCACGAATTCTTCGGTGACTGTGCGGTAGCCACGGTGATGCCGGCATTCGGGAGGAACCGGCGCCGTCTCAACTTGGGGGCGACATCTTCGACGAGTATGCGCGAATCGCCTTCGGACCGTCGTTCAGAAGGCGTCAGCATGTCAGGAGCGAAAGAAGGACGTGCACGTACACGAATCCACGCTGGTTTCGATAATACGCATTGCGCGAATGTTCGTATCATGCGGCCGGTCTCGCAGATCGAGGGGCCGTGTTCATGTACATGGTTGGGCGGGTACGCCCTTGGTGGGCTCCCTAACATGGGTCGCAACAGGGCCGAGAAGTCATCGAGGACTGCGCGAGGGTTATCGGAACGACGCCTATGTCGTCGCAGGTGGGCCGCGCTCGTCGACGAGGCAGCGGGGAGTTGGGCCTGAAAACTCAAACCCTGGATTCGGAGAGCGGCTGTAGCAGTGGAGTCTTTAATCCGGACGCGTCTAATGAGGTTCCTTTGGTGGGGATGCCTCATTTTCCCTACTTCCTTTAGTAAGGAGTCCTTCATAGGAGAGGTGCCTTCAGTAAGGGTTCCTGTCGCAAGAACTCCTCAGTCCGGATTCTTGGGGGGGGACCCCATCAGAGTTTGTTTAGTTTGCCTGGAGATATCCACTTGCCTTCCCTCCTACCCCCTCCTGCCTCCTCCTTCTCCTCCTGCCTGCTCCTCTTGCGTCATCCTCATGGTTCCGCCTCCGCTCCTTTTCCTTAGGAAGACTTCTTTCCTGTCGCACCCCGAGGCTGGTCGAAAGGGCGGGCCGTGCGTGTCGCCTGAGGCTTCCTCGCCACTTATGATCGTGATGCTTGATATTTGCAGCAGCTTCACGGATGGAGGGCGGGTCGTTTTAAGTTGTAGTTCTCGCGGCTCGTCGTAAGAACCTGCACAAGTTTCACTGACGGAGGGCGGCTCCTTTTCAACACGTAGCCGCCTTAGCGCCGCGCGCATCCGTTTGGAGTGCAACAGTCGGTTCAAGTGTTCTCATGGTTAGCGCGTTAGGACGGCTAGGGCGCAATAGGTACGTTGATTCGTGGTGCCGAAGTCCCACGAGTGGCATTTTAGCACGATCCAGGTTCGCCAAGACGCAGCAGTAACGGTAATTCGAGGCGTTGAAGTCCCAGGAGTGGTGCCCTGGCACAGTTCCGGATTTTCAAACGGTTGTTTTCCCACGGGGCATCTATAATGGCAATGAATGCATTAGGGCTTTACGAAGAGGGAATTTGGAGGGAACGTTTATTGCAACATCGTTGACGAGTCTCGGGTTTACACTGGTGCTCTGGCCTCCTCCTTCTCTTCCTCCTCATCATCATCCTCATGCTATTCCTTGTTCTGCCTCCTCCTCCTCCGCCTCTTCCTCCTCCTCCTCCTCTTCCTCCTCCTCCTACCCATACCTCCTCCTGCCTCCTTGGGCATCCTGCCTCCTCCTGGGATCCCCTGGGGGCCCCTGGGGCATTCTGAGGCCTGCCGGGACACTCCTCCTCGTCCTCTTCCCCGTTATTATGGTAATTGTTTCTCCTCATCCTCCTCTTCCTCCTCCTCCTCCTCCTCCTCTTCCTCCTCCTCCTCCTCATTTCCGTTCTGCCCCCCCCCTCGTCCTTCGCTCTGTTTTTCATCATCCTCCTCCTCCTCGTCCTCTCCCTTTCCTCCTGCTCGTTCTTTGTACTCCTCCTCCACCACCTCCTCCTCATCCTCCTTTCCCTCCTCCTCCCCCTCCTCCTCCTCCTCCTGCCCCAATCCTATGTTCAGTATGACACGACTGATTTGGCAGCGGCCGACTTACAGAGTGCCCATTCGCTGGCCATTGAGGAAGGGCGGCCAGTGACGGTGTTTGTCAAGAATGTTCGTGAGACGCGGCGACGTTGCGCGCGCTGCTAACTTTGCGGCAACCCCGTCCTGGCTTGGACGTCGACCCGCATGGGGGTTACGACGAAGACCGTTCGCATATGTTATTCAAGCCGTGGGTGGTGCGACGGTGGGACGTGCACGTTTGCCCCTCTTGCTTCCTCCAGGGGTCTCCTGCCCTGTCATGGGGCCTCCTGGAGCCTCCTGTTGCCTTCTGGAACCTCCTGGGCCCTCCTGGGGCCTTGTGGGGCCTTCTGGATCCTTCTCGTGCCTCTGTGTATTCCTTTTCCTCCTCCACTATGCCGCGTCATCCGCATCTGCCGCGTCCTCCTGTTCCCTCTCACGGGAAGTTCCCTACCGAAACTTCCTCCAGATCCATGCCCCGGACGCACAAGCGCGACGACCGTGACAGGTTCTGGAGGGCCCGCTCGGATGAATAACATGATCTGGCGGCCGCATGGGAGGGGGCTCCCGCTCTAGAGTTCCTTTTCTACCCATTCAGAAGCGAGGCTCCTG